CAAACTAAGCTTTTGAACGCGGTGTATTTTACTCATGTTTTAATATCCCTGTACATTCTCTGAGTATCTCCGTTACTAATAATTATCGATTTATTTTATAACATTAATTGTTTCATTCATATATAATTTTCTGTCTTCAATAAAATTTGTTGACCTTAAGCGTGTAATCATTTCTCTCCTTTAATGACTGAGGTCGGGTTTCTTGTACGCACTTTTATTTTACGTAAATACTGGATTTTGAATCCTTGAATTGTTAAACAAACTAATATTCTTGTGATTTTCCGAAGTGACATCAAAAAACATTTAAATTTCTTAAAAAGACTGGCTATACTTCATTCAAGTTAAAATTTATGGCTGTTAGAAATCCATGTTGGAGATAAAAATTCGCCGGGAGCTACTGAACATATTGCACATTAGACTTAGTTTCCCATTTAATCAGAAAAGCGTGGTGCACTCTCTGTTAGTCTAAAAATATTTCATTTTTGTTTCCAATTACCGCTTTAATAGGATAATTAGACACAACTCTATACTGATAATTATCATGTGCTCACCAGTGATCAACTTCGAGAGGTTATTATCAGAGTTCTTCTGAGAAGCTGTGATCGGGTGTGAGGCAGTACCTCACCGAGGATGGTCGCGCAGTATTGTGGACTGGTTGGGGTTAGACGCCGGCTCAGTGGTCTAGGGGTTAGGCTTCCGCTTGAGACCGGAAGTCCGGGCCCCGCGTGCGGGATTGTGGATGTAAACTCTTGGGGAATTCCATACTAGGACGAAACGGTTGACCAGTGCTTCCAGGTTCTCAATGGTGGTCTAACATTTGTCGATTCATGATCTCAATCAAAACAATTTATGCGCCGTTACATTATTAAAATCCAGCAATGAACGTCCTGGATTATAGATCTTCCTTACATATGCATTATTGCAATTCTCCATCCTAAAATTATGTTTTCTTCCATAGGATAAATTGTTAGATGTGTGCAGTCAAAGCAATGAACTTTCTTCCTAACTCCGATGGTTCCAGTTTACAGTTACAACGAAAGTTAGCTTTTGTAACCTATTCATGTCGACACAGTACGTGTGACACCTTGGAGTCAATGATGCACATTGTTGCTTGCGTTCCTATCATTGTTTTAACCACCTATGACAATCTAATGAGTGTGAAGTAGATACAATTCGGTCGTACTAGACTTTTTGTTATTTACGACAGTTCTGCTCTTGGTCTTTTAAGCTCTTACAGTCCGTATGAATATTCTTAATATTTAGAATTCAATGCTGTCTGGAGTAGATTTTGTGAGTTATGAATTCCGAGTGGTCCTTGAGTCTCCCTACAATACATTTTTTACGACGAAGTGAAGATATTAACTTGTTTGTTTATATTCTACTTACATTTAACCACCCAACATAACGTATCGAATCCAGCACTTGCAACAGCATCTGAACAGACTGTGGAACGAGAATAATCGTTAGGATATACGGGAAATAACTAACCTAAAGGCCCACTTAAATGCCCGTCTTTATAAATTTTCGTTAACAGTCATACCTGTTGATTCCCACCAACCGGTCAAGTACAGCTTATAAGCCCAGTGAAACTGCGAGATTGAGTTTCGTGACTCTAAATATTCCGAGACGTAATTATTTTGCTGACTTTTTGTTGCCATAATGGCATATTGGTTTGTCTACACAGAAAAAACTACATAGACTACCAAGTGAATGCGACGTATTATGTCCATCAGAACTAATGTTCTGTAAATAGGCTCCTAACTAGATACTTTATGCAAGTTACTGAATGCTTATTATGAGTCTGAAGTTACTACTTGAACGGTACCATACATCCGTAAGAAGGCGCGAGACAAAGTTGATGTGGAGAAAGCAGAAACCTGATGCTTACACAAGTGAGGTTGGTCGGAATGTTCTGAAACCGTTTATATCCGCCCAAAACGACAGTTATCCGAAGGTCAATTATCTTGGTGTTACCTTTTCCTCTGATCTCTCTTGGTCTTCTCACGTTTTATTGTTATCGAAGAAGGCTTTCCGTCTGACTTACTACATAAAGAAATTGCATGCTCTTGGGATTGCTCGTCATTTACTCTTACAATTTGTCAGTTCTCGCATATTACCTATTATTCTTTACTGTTCTTCATTATTCTTTCCCGGGCTTTTGAGAAAAGACTTTGCTGTATTGTGGAGAGTGGTGAAGGCAGTTAGCAAGATGTGTGGTGAATCTTTCGAGGTCATAATATGGTTGTGGATAGACATCTAAAGTCATGCAAACTCCTGGCAGGTGTTATTTTATCAGTCTTCAGTAATAAGGATAGGAGGTCTATTGACCTGTATTAATCTTTGCGGTTTGTAATACTGTGGAGGTCCAATCTCGTTTTGAATATATTAACAGAAGGTGCTGATATTACGTGTTCCGGTAGAGGATTCCAGTAATTCACTACTCGGTGCGAGAAACGGAACTCCAGACGTAAATGATTTGATCTCGGGTTTTGAACTTTCTTCGAATGTCCTCTCAAATGATCAGTCCTGGACAGAAACAAGAGATAAGACATGTTAGTACCAAGGTCATCGTTCAGTATACGATAAGCCAATAATAGATCACCCCGTATTCTACGGTAATATAACGGAAATAAGTTAAGGTGCCTCATTATGTCTTCATAAGATAGGCCAGATAGACCATCCTAGTACCTCGTCTTTGGACTCTTTCCAGCATATCTGTTTCGTACTTGAAACAAAGACACGCTGCTTGAATTCCATATTCAAAATGTGGTCGCATATAAATTGGGTATAGTAATCTAAACATTTCATCGTCTAAATACTGGAAAGACCTACGAATTGACCATAATACCCTATAGCCTTTTGCAGCAGCAGCCTTACAGTGACTAGTGGTTTTGAGATCATTGCTTAATATGACTCCTAAATCTTTTTAGTTTCTTACTTTGGGTAGCACGAATCCACGTAGTGTATAGTGATACGATTCGTCAGAGTTATCTAACTGCATCACTACGCTCTTATTAGGATTTACTTCTAGTGATCACCTGTCTAGCCATGCCACCAATGAGCTAGGATCATCCTGTAATACCAATCTATCCAACATACTATGTATGGGTCTCCAAATCTTTATGTCATCAGCGAAGAGTATGACGGATGATTTTGCTACAGTTGGCAATTCATTTACATAAAGTGAAAAGAGAAGAGGACCTAGGATTATACCTTGGGGAACCCCACTTTTTACAGATACCCACGAGGAGAGAGCCCCATTAACCCTTACACTTTGTCTCCTGTCATGGAGAAAGTTACTTATCCAATCCACGACTGTATAATGAATTCCAAAACGTTCCAGTTTGAATTTAAGACCAGAGTGGGAAACCTTATCGGAGGCATTACTTAGATCTATGAAAATCACACCCACAGGAACATTCCGATCTTTTGCAGCACAGATTTGTCAAGCAAGATAGGCCTTCCCGAAAACCATGTTGTGCCCTGGAGAAAAGATTATGCCTTTCAACATAATTTATAACAGATATCCGAATGATTTTCCTCATCAGTTTTACAACTGCACTAGTTAAGCTGACGGGTCTATAGTTACTAAATCCCTACTCCCAGCCTTATACACCGGACTTATTATAGCGTCTTTCCAGTCTCTAGGCAATCTGGACTGTCTCAGAGACATGTCAAATAGTATCTTTAATGGTTCAGCAATTTCATCTGATATGGCTTTCATAATCCTAGGATGTATATCATCAGGACTACTGGACTTATCAGGTTTGAGATGCTGAAGTAGCCTTAAAACACTACCTTTCTCAATGACTACAGGATCCATCAGCGAGCCGTCACGGTCACGATGAATCGTTGGTCGTTCCTCATTACCGATAGAAAATACTTTACTAAAATATGGAAGGTGTTATTTTATCAGATACTAACCATCCCCTGCACTCTTATCTTTCTTTTTGTATATCTTCTGGTAGAACGAGACGTAATTACTTTAGAATCCATGCACCCAAGCAAAAGTATACAAGTTCTATAATACCTTACCTAGTAAATATACTGTGACGAACAGGTTGTTAGAGTCAACCTAGTCAATAACCTGCATTCTTAACATGTTTCTAATTTGAAAAGTTTTAGTTTTTCGGTTGTTTTTTTAAAATCTTTCTTGTCTTTGTTTCTGTTTTTGCGTAAGAAACTTGTTGAAATACCCTGTGCCGAGAATTCTATATTGTACCAAAATGTAATATTGAATAAAGCCATTAAAAAATCGAAAAAAAAAATAAACAAAGCTAGTCCCAAACTTATGTACGAAAACACTATCGTGTAAGGTCTATGAGGCGGGACGACACTAAACCATTGTGTTAAACCCGCTAACCCACAAATCATGCTATACCAAACTAGCTACCAGCTATTATTTCAACTAACTTAAACAGCTAGGAAGTACACTACAGCATGAATGTTTAGTTCCACAATATAAAACCACATATTCTACTAACTCATGCCATGTAAAATAAAGACTAGTTCATCCAATCAATACAGTTCGTTTTATGTTCCTGTGACTGAACTAACAAATTTCGCAGTACTAAGTTTTGGAAATCAACCCTGAAAATCCTATTGGGAAGTTTAGATGCAGAATAGACCCGGATATTGTTGGTCCTGTAGAGGTTTCATGATGAAGTATTTTCTGTGCGGCGAAAGTGAAACTAACTTCCAAATAACAATCACCATTTGAGATTATAGAAAGTACGGTGTGACTCTTATCACTCGAATATACACCTCAGATGACTACTACTGTACGGCTATCAAACTAAGTTCTTATATAATTGAACGGTCAGTCTCGAAGATGAGTGCTCTGACTTGTCTTCAAAACATATTATTTCACATACCTGAACATCATATATCCATCCTATCCACTTAACATTTAAAGTGTCATGCTAATCAGTTCAACAAAATGTAATCTGCAGTCAATGAAAAAGAAACTATATAGCCATCAGAATATATTTATGCTAGCTTTAACGGTATGATTTCTGGTATCTTGCACGAGCTCCGGAGCCGCCAAACTTCTTTGGTTCACATCTTCTTGGATCAGCAACTAATAAGCTTCTATCATACTGAACGAACTTCTCCTTAATTATGTTTTTAGAACACTCATCGACGTATTTTTGATGGAATGCTACAACTGATTTAGCAATAGCTTGTCTGACAGCATATATCTGAGCCACTCGACCACCACCACTGACACGAACTCTGATGTCCAAAGTAGATAATCCGTGTTTTCCAAGGAGTAGGATGGGCTCCATTAGTTTGGGTAACAAAGGACGTGGTTCCAGTACATCCAATGGTCTGCCGTTCACTCTGATGGTTCCAGACCCGAGTTTACAGTGAGCGACAGCTGTTGCTGTTTTCTATAACACATGAGAGGCCTAAATATATAAATTACCTTCCGCCCAAACACTTGTACGGCCTTAGGTTTCTCTTTCGGTTGGTTGGATACAGTCTGCATCGTAGTGTCTGCGGAACGTGAAAAAACTGCAAGCCGCGCCTTGAAACAAATTAATATGTACAGTACCACAGAAACAGTGCTCAATTAATTTTCTAAAATCTTGTAAGGATCTAACATTAAATATAAACCTTTCATTAAGCTGTAAATTTTTTTCAATAACACAGGTTTGCAGAATACACAAAAATAAAGATAGCATGGTTTTCCATTCCAAACTTTAATTTTAGAACTCTTTCTCCGGATAATTAGTTTGGAAGTTTTAAGTTCACTAATTCATGTCTATGTTCGCATTTATTATTATTATTCTCAAAGCACACTATTTTATTTCTTCCTTGTGTTCCGGATATCGATCTTGAGGTATTCTGATGCCTCCATCATACATATTCTGCCTACTCATTTTTCGTCTCAGGATTCCTAAATGGTATTCTGAAGACTATCACATGTTTAGTACGCCATTTAAGTTCTAGCGATCCACGATGGAAACAGGCACATTTGATTGCATTGTGCGATTATGACGGTCGTTCACTTGGTGAATATTGTGATTGTAGAATCTCCCAGAAGTTGACTTACGTATAGAACTACTCTGTACTATATAATTTCAACATTTGCAGTTTTTAAGTAGTGACGAGCCATGTGTGGTCCAGCCGTATGTTTTCAAAGCCTTTTTCGGAATTGAAATCCAGGCGTCATGAAATCAAAATGACCTTTGAGTGGTGAGATTAGCGATGCTCAAGGACTGTAGTTGTTTATGACTGAAGGTCGAGTGTTGGCAACAGTACTAGTTCGAGGTAAATAATAAGGGACAGATTTTATAGATTGTGAGATATTTTATCTTTCTGTCTTTATCTATAAATTTCATACTGTTTTTTTCAGCCTAAACGATCATGACATAATAAATGGGACAGTCAGTAATTTATAAGCACTTTCGTCAAGCTGTTTGACTAGTGTTCATAATCCATTCAGTTGTTGCTGACCGGCGCCTCTCTTTATTAGTATATTTCTGGCCTGTTCATAGTTGCATAACTCTTTCTGGATCCATTCTAGAGTTATTGCTGGAGACAAGTTCGAATAAGGGATGAAGGCTGGACAAATATTTTCCACGTCACACCATAAAAATGGACATGTTAAAAACCCAAACAAATAAGTCTCTTAAGCCACTCAAACTCTGTTTGTGGAGCAGAAATGTCTTCATACCGAAGTACTATGGTGCCTTATGGCTGAACCCAAGACTAATCAGAAGTCACATGGTTACCCCCGATTTTACAACCTGTTACGCCCAAATGAAGAATGGGCGAGTGTTAACTGCTGGGAATTATTTAAGAACTATTGTTGCACATATTCTTATTGAATAGCTATTGGGCGCCTAGATTACATATATGATTTTACTCCTTTCATCATCAGAGTTCAGTTGACTTATTGGCTGCTATCATATGATTTGTCGTTCTAAATTTCGTAATTACAGCCACTTTGGGCACGATCCTGTGTGATTATTATTTTTTCCTTTATGGTGTGGTGTGGTCTCGTCTGCTTGTTTATTGACAACGTACTTCTGAAATATATGACTCATACAGTGGAGACTAATATTTGTTATGGACTGTACAGGATGAGCTGGGAGGAAAGCTACCATACAGGGGACGATTAAGGGTTCAGAGATGACTCAGGGCCACTGTTGCTGAACAAGTTCATAAAATTTGTTTTTCTTATTGGTGATTTTGTTACATGACATTTGACGGGCCCCAGGAAACCACACAACCACAGTAACATCTAATGTAGGTATGTTTAATGTCCAGACAATTAGGAGGGCCAAGGGGACCATGCAAATAGCCACAAAAATAAGAAAATTCATCCCGAATAACCTTAGAGTTGAGGAGATCCAGTGGACATGTGTAAAGCATAAAGAACTTGCACTGGGAGAGCTGATATTGTCTTGTGATCATGAATACTTGTTCGCTGAGCACAAAGATATGCACTAATGTTGATCATACGAGTACGAAAAGCGCTTAAAGGATGAAGAACCTATTGACGAAGTTTTTCAAAGAGCGTTTCAAAACAAATAAATAAGCGTTCACAATGAGTGTCATCCAGTGCAACACACCCAACATGGATGGCATCAAAATCGTGAAGAACAGATTTATGAGAGTCTGTAGCCCATCTCAGAGAGCTGCCAAATAAAAGACCCAACCATCTTGATAAGCGATCTGAACATCAAAGCCGCTCAGAAAACACTGGATATGAAGACATCGAGGACTTAAACAATAGGACGGTGACGGATAGAAACTCACTAGTACGTGTGATTTGAACAACATGGTTATTGGTGGCACAATTTCCCCCCACAAGCACACGAGCAATGTCACATAGGCTCTATTGAACCATCCTACAGCAAACCAGACGGATTACAATTGCATAATAAAAAACTCGGAAGATCAATCAAGGGTGTACGAACAAGAGGGGATCTGACAAAGCTTCATATCATCAGCCTTTAGTAGACAAGCTAAACTTAGGGAAGTTAGTAAAACATCACCAAAAGTATTTTATGCAGCCTTTCTTTTAGACGTTGATAAGCTTTTCGAATCCAAGATTCCTATCAGTAACGAGTTTTAAGCCCTTCAAGGTTTACTGTGAGAAGAGGAAGTTAACAAGGGAAACAACTGCAAAGGAATTCAACAGCCACGTACCTTACCATGACAGGAAGTGCTGGACAGCGTGAAATACCAGCATAAATAATGGATCTATGTGGATATCCTGGTCCAGATCCAAGAGGTGTAAACAAGAAAACAGTAATCAACAACGGCCAAACACAAGATAAGACACGGAGTGAATTGGCAGAAACAAACAAATGAGTGAAAACAAGTGATAGAGCTGACAATAAGAAACTTGCAGAAGACACGGTAAGAACGGTAAAAGCTCCAAAAGAAAGAAATACGACGAACATTTTAACGCAATCAAAAAGCTTGAACGAAAATATAGTAAACCGAAGTGGTTAGTCGAGACAAGAAGGACAGATCAACATCTGCAGTTCAGTTGCGACGAAATAGCTGAATAAAGTGCGACACTCACCTGATATCGAAGCAGCAAATGCAATCGCCTAACTGATGACACCACACCGATAGTAAGAGAAATTACCAACACACATCAGAAAAACTAATAATAGCAAGGTAGCAAGTACAGACGGTATGTCAGCTGAAGTACTGAAGCCAGATATGCAAATAAATTCAAACGCACTGTGGCTAATTAAAACGATTTTTGGGAAGGCAAAAACACTAGCAGACGGAAAAGTGGAATATCTCACCAAGATAACAAGGAAATGATAATTTATTGGTTTCGAGAACCACAGTGGCGCCATACATCTGTCTGCTTCAGGTTACTTCTTCAACAGGATATATTAGCTGGTTGAAAAACAAAAGATTATGTATAAGATTATGTATATTTCCAAAATGCATAAAGGAATGCACAGTGTTTATATACATAGATGGCTATTTTGATAGCAATTAAAATAGCTCTTCTTTATTATGATAACTTTTATAGAGTTATTTGTGAATCTCTACTTGGCTTAATTGTTCAGTTTAGCTTGGCTATTGGAATTTTCCAGTAGGGAGAAAACCAGTTCAAGGTTGAAAACGTGAGTCCAAGAAATATTTGCCACGGCAAGTTAACACTCACACCACTGGTTAGTTATACCTCAAAAGAAACAGTGTGTTAGCGAGCTTTTCTGTCCCGCAAACATGAATGGGTTAAGGTTATCTCCACACCATCATGTTTTTTCTACAGGAACACCACTCTCCCTCCTTTTGTGATGCTACGTCTGTGGAATGTCGCTATAATCTAGACTCCATGTTGCACACTCTGTTAGGATACACTGTCTCAACTAGTTCAATGTTACACGTAAATCAGACAGCTAAATCTTCTGCATTATAGGATGAACATCCATATAGTATATCACACTCCTATTAGGCTAACTAATGATATGAATCATAAGACACTAGTCAAATGATATGTTGTTTGGAGATAATAAGGTCAGAGAGCTGGTCAGGGAATGTGAAAAGAGAGTTTAAGGCTGAAAAGTTTGTGAGTAAGATAATGTAGATTACCAACGCAGACCATCTGTGTCGAAGGACTGGAGACCTTCTGGAGTTAGACGAGAACAGTGTGGCGAGACAGCTAACTTCGAAGCCACACTTTGCGGTCAATACTAACGTGGATTACCCCTTCGATGTACCAAATTACTATGGCTTATTTGAAGACCATATAGCACAAACGACGTTATTAAGGAAATGATGTGAACAGGGAAACAACAAGCCCTGACAAACCATGAAAACTATTTTTCGGGACGTTATGTCATTTTATTCAAAGCTTGTAAAGCATTGACATTTATTTTTGTCCCTATTTCATTCTACAGAATATGGGCTTTCGTTCGATGTGTCATTCATTGCTATACTCCTTTTTGTTCCGAAGCTATTGTAGTTTAAATACAATATTTTGCACCTTATTTTCTACTCTAATTCCCAGTTTTGGACATAATTGTATTTTCCAAAATTATTGTACGCTGTGGTTGGGTTAATCACTTATTTATCCATGTACCTTTAACACTAATCTGAACTCACGGGAAATCAGTATATCGGAATAGAGCGAATATTGTTCCAGTTGTCTTGTCTTCTCTCATTCGCGTGCTTGTCAGTCAATCAGGTGATAGGATGGTTTTCTCCTCTCTACCCCGCCTCGAACTCACGCGTACTAACCTCAAGGTTTAGCCGATCAGCCTACTGCGTTAATGTCTTAATCGAGAGTAGACAATTCAAGGTCATAACAGGAAATATATTAATAAGGATGAATACTAATAAGATAGTGAGACCACCAACTTATGCTCCAGTCCATGACATACGATCAACTGTTGTGCGTTGGTTGCCATTGACCTTGACAGGAATCGATGATCTGTTCGATACTCAGTGACATTTCACTGGCCCCATAATAATAAGTAATAAGGAAAAAACGACATTTGGTTGTTA